TTATTATATTATATTAATATTTAATGTAAATCACATACAAGCAATTATTGCATAAATACTTTACTACATTTATTACATATAAATTAAAAATGTTAAATAAGCAATGATTTCTATAACAAGTTTTCATCAAATAAAATTATTAATCACTGTTCTCACTATCAGTATTCTCTGCATCAATAATCTTATTTGCTTTTTTATCTTCATTATTATAAACTTCATTTTCTACGTCATTGTCTGAATCACTTTCTTGATCATTAAAATATGCAAATTCACTATCGAAATGTAAGGATGGTTCATTATTATCATCTATTGTGTTGTCTTTATTAAAATGCGTGGATAGTTCATTATCATCATCAACACCATCCGTCATATCATCTTCCAATAATTCTTTACTTTCAAGCTAATTTAAAACGTATATGATATTATTAATAAGCCAAAAACTACTGATTAATCAACAATTACTTACCCAACTTTGTATAATAGGATTAGAATCCCATTGGTCCATGCGTTCCTGTACCTTTGAAGATAAAATCTCAACTTGATCGTATGTCAGATCTAAAAGCATTAATGCTACTGTGATGCCAAATTTAATATTATTTTTATTTTGCAGTTCTTCTTTAGTAAATGCTCTTTGTAAAATGGCTTCAATGGTACATGATGAATTTGGATCTTTATCGTCTATTTTCTTCCAGATGTTACTTCTTGCCCTTTTAACTCTTTCTGACCTTTTCCATTGTATAACCTCTTTAGGACTAGCAAACTGGTTAAGCTTATAAGAGAATAAGTTTAAGATACTATAAATAGCATCTTTTATTTTTCAAACATAAAAGCTCTGATGATTGCGAAAATATTCTAGCATCTATATTTAAATAATTATATTTAAAATAACATTTATATTTATTTGATAAAGCTATTCGTAATTATATAAAAGTTAAAAAAATATAACATACAATTGAATGTACCGCCTTCCACAGATTGTTCCATTCATTTGAGAAAGATCCGCTTGAATTTGTGACCTGAAAGCTTGTTCAACTTCTGTATCTGATGGGTTCTTATTTACTTGGAACAGTTGATGACATGCCTTCGTCATTGAAGTCTAACGTAAAAGAATTAAAGAATAATTTCAATATTCAAAAGTTAACAATAGATTTTGATACTAACATCCCACCACATATGCTTTGTATCTTTTCTTTTCAAACGTTGTTTTGGCCCTCCTCTTTACATTTTTTCAGTTATTATGGTCGATTCTGATGTCAAAATCGTGAAGACGTTTTGTAGAAGTTTGTGATTCTCAGAGATCTCTTGTTTTAATTCTTCATTACTTTTTTGTAAATTATCAATTGCTATGCGTTGCTTTAGCTGTTCGTCAAGCACTTTCTCAAGAACAGATTGGATGTTTACATTAAGTTTAACACCTGATAATTAATAAGAATTATATGATATTATATTCATAAACGTAATATTGATTAAAAGGAACTTACGTTTTGTTGATAATTCATTGGATCCTAATTCATCTGATTTCTTTCGCTTAATACCTTTATTTAAAATTATTAATTAGATTAGATAAATCATGTTATAAAATAGAAATTAATAACACTTACTCATCGTTTCAGTAAGCTGAGATGATGATGGAAAATCTGTGATCCTTGATTTGCTAGATAAAGAACTATTAGAAAAGTCTTTTGATCTCAAAATAGATGTCGAAGGGATATTAGAACCGCCTTTTGATAATTCTGATAAAATAGAATTTTTTCTAATTTTTGTAAATTGCTGTTGAGATTTATTAGGTAATCGATGTGAAGCTTTCAGTTGTTTTTCAACTGTTTTTGTAGACAGTTAAGCTGGACTGATATGAATGGCCGTATCAGGACTATGTAATACCAATTGTTCATTATATGTCTCATCTTGATTCTTCTTTTCATATGTCCTTAGAATCTGTTATTAGATGAGTAATATGTTAACATTTCAAAAAACTCTTA